TAGCGCCAATCATAAAGAAGTTGTATCTCAGGACACTTTCCAAAATAAGGATCAGGTCATAGACCGAACTCCTTTAACATTATTTTAAAGAGACCCAACAAGTCACCACCCATGAGGAAGCCATTGCAACAGGGGCAAGGAAAAACTGCCTTGTTAAGAGCAGAAACCGTTAGGACAGATTCCTTCGGATTCTTAGGGTGTGGGTTGGTCGTCCTGCCTACGACACTTTGGAGGTGATGAGGCAGAGGTTAAGAGAGAGACAGAAGCGAGACAGATCATGATCAGCAGGACATACAGACAGATGCATCTAGCAGACAACAGTAGCAACATACATTACACCTAATTAGTTAGTGATCTGAATGATGACATGAAGAAGGATGATGGATGTGTGGGAACAACAACAAACAAGGGGGACATTATGAGCAGTGCTATTTTAAAATAATAGATAATCTGTAGTAATTAATATATAGTATATTTAATTATATAATAACAATAATATTCAGTGTAATTGGTTTAGCAATATGGTAGTCAAGCAGTGACTGTGCATGGCAGATGATGCCTCGCACTCAGATACCATGAAACCTGCGAGGTACGGAATACTAATCACAGAACTTTCTTGGGTAAGAACGTGAAGTTAGTAACATGCTTATTTAATGGGACATGTTATGCAGTTAAGTAAATAGATAGATTCTGTAAGAGATGAAGAGAGGAAGCTCCAGTTTTGCATCTAGGAAATCCCTCGATTATAGTCTAGCCTGTATAGCAGCACTAGACTATTAGGGATGGTTCAGGAAACTCATCCTTAGATCCAAGCCCATAACTATAAAGCTTTATCAAAGGAGGACTCTTAGCCTATCTCTTAATGTGGAAGAGGGTGTCTGTCCTCCAAACCACAATCAACTGTCTATAAATTCTTCCAACCCGTTTTACTATAACTTCTCAGCTACTGAATTTGGTTTGTTTTCAAGCAGGTGATTCATTGGCATTTCAACATTTAGGCTAAGCTATAGAGGAAAACCAGAGAAGTCGATTTATCTGTTTCTCATATACTACAGTCAGGATTAAATAGTGAAAGTTTCAGCATAATTATGGACAAAATAATTATGTTTTCAAATAATTAAGACATCTGCAGCTTTTCTAACTTTTAAAATGTCATGTGCTCCACCGAATGTAGAATAATCAGGTTCCAACTTTGATCCAGCAAGAAAAACCAATGCAGGGCTCGTTAATACCATCTAGCCTTACATCCTGTAAGTCAACATCATATAACCTGAAAGAAGCGAACTTTCTCTCTCTTACAAATAAAATTGAATTTAATTGTTGAGTTTCTGATTCTCAGGGTCCCAAAACATCTGTATTGGACGCCCTGGGAATGAGACCCCATGATCGCCCATCTTTCTCGTCTCTGATTGGTTGTTTTCGTTCAAGGTGGATTCTTGCTAATGCAAGTGCAATTAGGAGCACTAGAAGGAGCCAGATGAACCTGCTTTTTTTCTGTCTCATGTACTACTGTCAGGATATAGTGAGTTTCTATATGACAAAAATATTTGTACAAAAATTACTTACTGCAGCTTTAATACGTGAATAATCTCCCTTTTTCCCATTTGTAAAGCACAGCCTGTTCTGTATTTGGATGTGTCTATCTCACCCGTATGAAGCACTGGAACCTCTTGTCTCTGGCCAGCAGTTCCTTGTACGATTTGACAGCCTTCAAGTGGCGGCTACAGAACTCAGCGTAGGTTTTCCGCATATCATCTGCACACTGGCCTGAGAACTGGCAGAAGAACACACACACAAGCTGTTTCGAATAGGCTTGAAAAATTTCTATTATACAATTATAATAATCATAATTAGCTAACAGTTGGCTCTTGGTGTATGTGAGAATGCAAGGCAGTCACCTGCTCTAGTAGTATGTCCCCTAGCTGTTGAATGGTGAAGTTGCGGCTGGATCCAGGCTGCAGACTGTTGTTGCGCCGCAGGAGAAGTTGTGCCAGGAAATGGGAATGTATCCTGATCAGCTGGTCCAGGCAGGGGAACATGGCATGCACAGTGCTGGGGTCCAGTTGAAGCTCCTCCAGCATACCCTGCCGGAACACCCTTTCCATGATATGCAGTGTTCGCATGTGGTGCAGCTCTGTCTGAATCAGTTCTAAAAGGGGGACACATACCCACATTACACACATTAAAATCACAAAGCAGACTGTAGCATTTAATCTTAATTATGTACTACAGTATATTGTATCAATGTAGTATTACAATCTAGTATATTGAATTTCTGGACTATGGGTCAATAAACTACTGCCAAAAAATGGATGATGTTCTTGTCACCATATATGACGTCCTGCCTCTTGATGATGTTTTTACGGTGTGCCTGCAAGTAACTGCTGTCCACTGCCATGCTCCATGAGTCTGCCTTAAAGTCCTGACCCTCGAACTCCAACTCCTCCAGTACTGAAGTATAGTAGATGTCTCCTAAACAAGAGCATAAAAGATCACAGATCAACATCAACTGAGATCTGTACTGTACTTGACATTTCTCTTGTGCCTTTGTTCAAGATTATATATATTCATACTTTATAAAGCAGCAAACAATTATTAGCTATTGTAAAGATATAGTGGAGTCATGGTGACCTGAACAGAGAATGTTGTCACACTCCCCCTGCCTGTGTTGTTATCGCAGCTTCTCTGTGGTTTGTTGACAAAGATGGTCAGGACTTGCTGTGAATTAAGGATTTATTTGAACCAAACCAGAGTTATTGATTGTTGGAACAGTGGACTGACCCACAAAGATGGTTTTACTGAGTTTTATTTTGTTTCCGTCTACTTTGAATGAAGTCACAATGTTACAATGATATGTGAGGTAAAATTAACAATTTTGTCTATGGAGTCTGGTGGCGAGCGATATTAACATACTTTGAAGTACCTGTTCACATTGGTCTATGTCAGTAAAGCTACCTATACTGATGTACTAGAAATATTATTTAGTACTTGTTAAGGTGCTTACTTATACGTATTTTTGTGTTCATTTTACAGCTCTACAAATGACAGATTTCCCTCTATTAAATCCTGCCAAATACAACAACCGGTTACTTGGGGGATTGCAGTACTGGAAAATATAAATAAATGTATAAATATGTTGGGCTGGCTGTATAGCTGAAAAATATGTTGCCTGCAACAACTTTAATGAGGACAGCTATTGTGTGATAAACAAGTTGTTAGTAGCAGTCTGACTTGTGAACAGAAGTGTTATTATATAAGGGTATACCCACTTCTAAATCCCCTTTGATATGCATCATTCAGTAGGGATTTGCAAGCTGTTTTTTTAGGATGAAGAAGACATGACATAGTTGTCCAAGTTTTACATTTTTCCTCAGTGGATAGAGTAAGCAACAAGGTATACTTCACTTAAAAAGCATAATTATGTAGTTGTCTCACTGTACAGTCCGCCGGCCAGTATTGATTACAAAATCTGCACCTTTTCTGTGGCTATGTTAACTTCATAATGATCCATACTCCCTGAAGTCAAGCAGCAAAAGTTATGATAATGTTAAAATACTACTGACCCATTTTTTGGTGAGCTAAATGTGAAAGAGTAGGGCGTCCTTTTCTGGATGTGCTGCTTTAATAAGATTTAGGGCATACATTTAGAGTATATTGACTTCTTTAGTGTTCCATGATAGCTTTAAAAGAATGATCAAGTTTCCTTGTGTATTCCATTAGTCATCCAGTGTCCTTTAAAGTATTGCATAATGTACTGGAAAATGCAGTAAGACTGAACGGAGGTGCCTGTAGTCTTGTGAGTACATAATGGCAGAATTACATTTGCACATAATGTAGTGTAACATCTTTTTTCGTGACACTGGAATATCATGCATCAAGATATTTCTTTTGTCATTTTATTGTATGAAGTACAGTTTGAATGTTCTGATACCGTCATCAGTGAGAGACTCCACAGACATAGCTCTGGTCCTGAAGTTGAGGGAGTCTGTGGACTGGGACAGGATCCTGCGCAGCCCCAGGGGAGAGTCATCATTTAGGGTCCTACAACACAGACACACACAAGGCTTAATGTGTACTAATTATTTGGCCTTACAATATGAAAATAAACTGCAGTACAGACAGAGTCTGTGCGGTCAGAAAGTAGTGGCCCAGCAGAACCTGCTGTTAAAAATCCTGTTTCTCCTCAGCCCATGTAGCGTGAATTATAAGGCAAAATGAGGCCTAAGCATTTCAGGTCCCTTGACTCTGAATATTAAATTTTTTGACCATCTTGAGGAAGAAGTAAAAATTAAATTACATACAGAACTAACCAAAATAATGCAATTTAAAAAGTTCAAACATAACTAATGTCAGTTCTGTATGTATTTTAACAAGATGATAAATAATTTTAAGAAATAAAAATTGTGAACCTTAGTTATGCTGCTCTAGGCCTAGACTATCAGGGGATTTCCCATGATGCACTGAGCTCCTCTCTCCCTCTCCCTCCCTTTCTGCACTCATTCATGTCCCATCAATGCATGTTACTAACTTCACTT